CTAGGCAGTGAAAAGTTCCCAGGCACTGTGACTCTTTTTTTAGGGGTCTAGAGCACCCTACTCCGTACTGCTTGTCGCCGCAATTGTTCATGGTCCTTACGTTGTGGCTTGGTGGTCTAGATGGCTTGCGTCCGGGCGACTACCGAGACGCGACGGCCCCGTTTGAGCGCCAGTCTCGGACGGTAGGTGACCTCCTCCGCTGGCAAATATGGCATGTATAGCAAATCAGGATGTGGAAATGGGAGGCTTATATTCCGCCGCGCTAGAAAGAACCTCTCGTGCACCATCCGCTTTGCATTCCAGCTTCCTCATGTTATTCTGCCCCTCTTCCGCCAGCAACGGTTCCTGCTGGGACTGGCGCGGAACTCCAGGGCCCGAGGCCGAAGCCCCACCTCCGGGTGGGGTCGGCGTGCGTCTTGAGGGATTGGGTCGGGGTTCAGGTGGAGGGGGGCAGCGTTGGGGGGGCCACCCAGTTCCTTCTCATTTCCTCTACTGACCAAGAACCACATGAAGCTGACCCCATTCCCTCCCTCCGCTGACCCGGGGTTTGGGGGCAGGCCCGCGTTCGCGACGTGGCCCTGGCTGGCCCGGGTTTGTGCTGACCTGGATTAGCGCTTCCCTGAGTGGGCGGGCTGGAGGTGTTTCTTTGCTTTTGGTCAGTGGAGGCTTGTTTCGGGCACCAGGGGCGGTCGATCTGGGACGAGAACGTGGCCAGGATGGACCCCGAAAGGGGTCCGGGGACAGATTTGAGAGAGTTTGGTTGGATGAGGGGGGGGATTGCGGTGGTTCCATCGGGGGCCGCCGTAGGAGGAGCGGAAAGCGGAACGGGGGAGGGGAAAAAAGACAAATTACGTTACCGAGGAACCCCACATACTTATTTGATGTCACGTGTGTTCACAAACCGTATCACATCCCGCTTCGCCATCCTGACGAGCCAGACTGACCAGACCAGCCAGATCAGCCAGACCAGCCAGACTGACCAGACCAGTCGGATCAGTCGTTCCAGCCATAACCAGCCAAAGTAATCAGACCAGCCAGCCAGGCCAATCAAGCAGAGCAGCCACACGAGACAGCCAGGCCAACCAACCACACCAACCAGACCCAACCAGACCAGACCAGACCAACCAGACCACGTCAACCAGACCAACCAGACCACGCCAACCAGACCAACTCGTCACGCTCGTCGTCGTACTCATCGTACTCGTCGTCGTACTCGTTGTCGTACTCGTCGTCGTACTCGCTGCAGCACGACCCCCCCCCTGCGCTGGCCCTATAGTCTCGCGAAACTGCCACGCCTGCTAAACTTTGCGACAGTGACGTGGATAGCGGCCGCGCTCAGGGACCACCCCCTGCGCACCCCCTCTGGTGTCGAGAAAGTGCCACGCCTGCTAGGCTTTGCGACAGTGTCGTGGGTAGCGGCCGCGCTCATGGACCACCCCTTGCGCACCCCCTACGGTGTCGAGAAAGTGCCACGCCTGCTACGCTTTGCGCCAGTGTCGTGGATAGCGGGCGAGCTCAGGGACCACGCCCTGCGCGCCCCCTGCGGTGTCGTGAAAGTGCCACGCCTGCTAGGCTGTGCGCCAGTGTCGTGGATAGCGGGCGAGCTCAGGGACCACCCCCTGCGCACCCCCTTTGGTGTCGAGAAGGTGCCACGCTTGCTAGGCTTTGCGACAGTCGTGGATAGCGGCCGCGCTCAGGGACCACCCCCTGCGCACCCCCTCTGGTGTCGAGAAAGTGCCACGCCTGCTAGGCTTTGCGACAGTGACGTGGATAGCGGCCGCGCTCAGGGACCACCCCCTGCGCACCTACGGTGTCGAGAAAGTGCCACGCCTGCTAGGCTTTGCGACAGTGTCGTGGATAGCGGGCAAGCTCAGGGACCACCCCCTGCGCACCCCCTCCGGTGTGGTGAAACTGCCACGCCTGCTAGGCTGTGCGACAGTGTCGTGGATAGCGGGCGAGCTCAGGGACCACCCCCTGCCCACCCCCTTTGGTGTCGAGAAAGTGCCACGCCTGCTAGGCTTTGCGCCAGTGTCGTGGATAGCGGCCGAGCTGAGAGACCACCCCCTGCGCACCCCCTGTGGTGTCGAGAAAGTGCCACGCCTGCTAGCCTTTGCGCCAGTGTCGTGGATAGCGGCCGAGCTGAGAGACCACCCCCTGCGCACCCCCTGTGGTGTCGAGAAAGTGCCACGCCTGCTAGGCTTTGCGCCAGTGTCGTGGATAGCGGCCGAGCTGAGAGACCACCCCCTGCGCACCCCCTGTGGTGTCGAGAAAGTGCCACGCCTGCTAGGCTTTGCGCCAGTGTCGTGGATAGCGGCCGAGCTGAGAGACCACCCCCTGCGCACCCCCTGTGGTGTCGAGAAAGTGCCACGCCTGCTAGGCTTTGCGCCAGTGTCGTGGATAGCGGCCGAGCTGAGAGACCACCCCCTGCGCACCCCCTGTGGTGTCGAGAAAGTGCCACGCCTGCTAGGCTTTGCGCCAGTGTCGTGGATAGCGGCCGAGCTGAGAGACCACCCCCTGCGCACCCCCTGTGGTGTCGAGAAAGTGCCACGCCTGCTAGCCTTTGCGCCAGTGTCGTGGATAGCGGCCGAGCTGAGAGACCACCCCCTGCCCACCCCCTGTGGTGTCGAGAAAGTGCCACGTCTGCTAGGCTTTGCGCCAGTGTCGTGGATAGCGGCCGAGCTGAGAGACCACCCCCTGCCCACCCCCTTTGGTGTCGAGAAAGTGCCACGCCTGCTAGGCTTTGCGCCAGTGTCGTGGATAGCGGCCGAGCTGAGAGACCACCCCCTGCGCACCCCCTGTGGTGTCGAGAAAGTGCCACGCCTGCTAGCTTTGCGCCAGTGTCGTGGATAGGGACCGCGGTGAGAGACCACCCCCTGCGCACCCCCTGTGGTGTCGAGAAAGTGCCACGCCTGCTAGGCTTTGCGCCAGTGTCGTGGATAGCGGCCGAGCTGAGAGACCACCCCCTGCGCACCCCCTGTGGTGTCGAGAAAGTGCCACGCCTGCTAGGCTTTGCGCCAGTGTCGTGGATAGCGGCCGAGCTGAGAGACCACCCCCTGCGCACCCCCTGTGGTGTCGAGAAAGTGCCACGCCTGCTAGGCTTTGCGCCAGTGTCGTGGATAGCGGCCGAGCTGAGAGACCACCCCCTGCGCACCCCCTGTGGTGTCGAGAAAGTGCCACGCCTACTAGGCTTTGCGACAGTGTCGTGGATAGCGGCCGAGCTGAGAGACCACCCCCTGCGCACCCCTGTGGTGTCGAGAAAGTGCCACGCCTAGGCTTTGCGCCCTGCTAGGCTTTGCGCCAGTGTCGTGGATAGCGGCCGAGCTGAGAGTCGTCGAGATGCCAGCTAGGCTTTGCGCCAGTGTCGTGGATAGGCCGAGCTGAGAGACACCCCCTGCCCACCCCCTTTGGTGTCGAGAAAGTGCCACGCCTGCTAGGCTTTGCGCCAGTGTCGTGGATAGCGGCCGAGCTGAGAGACCACCCCCTGCGCACCCCCTGTGGTGTCGAGAAAGTGCCACGCCTGCTAGGCTTTGCGCCAGTGTCGTGGATAGGGACCGCGGTGAGAGACCACCCCCTGCGCACCCCCTGTGGTGTCGAGAAAGTGCCACGCCTGCTAGGCTTTGCGCCAGTGTCGTGGATAGCGGCCGAGCTGAGAGACCACCCCCTGCCCACCCCCTTTGGTGTCGAGAGAGTGCCACGCCTGCTAGGCTTTGCGCCAGTGTCGTGGATAGGGACCGCGGTGAGAGACCACCTCCTGCGCACCCCCTGTGGTGTCGAGAAAGTGCCACGCCTGCTAGGCTGTGCGCCAGTGTCGTGGATAGCGGCCGAGCTGACAGACCACCCCTTGCCCACCCCCTTTGGTGTCGAGAGAGTGCTACGCCTGCTAGGCTTTGCGCCAGTGTCGTGGATAGCGGCCGAGCTGAGAGACCAACCCCTGCGCACCCCCTGTGGTGTCGAGAAAGTACCACGAGCTGTGCTGTGCTGTGCTGAGCTGAGCCGTGCTGGGCTGTGCTGAGCTGTGCTGAGCTGAGCCGAGCTGTGCTGTGCTGAGCTGAGCTGAGCTGTGCTGTGCTGTGCTGAGGTGAGTTGAGCTGAGCTGAGCAGTGCTGTGACGAGGGGGGGAAGAGTGAAGTGTGTGTGTGTGTGAGTGAGGGGAGGAAGAAAGAGAGGAGGGGAGGTGTGAGGAGACGCGGGTGCGGCGCGGCAGGGAAGACCACCAGAACCCCTCGAAGCATGTGGGGAATTAGGTGCACGAGCGAATTTCACATCTGACGTCCCTCCCTTCCCTCCTATCCATTACCATGTCGTAGATATCCTATCTATTCGCACAGTCGGATGTCGAGCAGGGCCATGATCCCAAAAGGGTACGCGATGGATGGGAACTCATGACGTAGAAGAGCACGGCAGAGCATAGCATGTCATAGCATGGCGTGGCATTGCCTAGTGAAGCGCTGCGCCACAAAACATAGCAACGCAAAATATAGTACCGCACAGGGGTGCGCAACACCAACGCACTGCATGCCGTGGCATCGCGCTGGATGACTTGGAGGGTAACTGGCCCATCTGCGAGAGGACAGGGCCTGTCCAGAATTCCGCAACAGTGCTTGCCCGATGTGGGCGCTTTCGACTGCCAAGTGCCGTCCGGAGGCGCTGGAATGGGAACGCCATTGTGGAAACACCATAAACGATTGGATCCAAAAATCACACAGGAACAAACAATTCATGACATCTTTTGCGTAAAAACAATACGCGGAGAGGATGGGGGACTCTCCCGGACAGAGTCAGGGGAGAGAGGGGAGTAGTATTCATATTGTGTAATTGTGAAGGATCGACGTTTCAGTCGGAATCAAGGTTTCTGGACCTGCCGTTTGCCCTCCCGTGTCGCCGCCATTGCTTTCCACTACTTCTTTCGTGTCTGTTTGGGCTCAAGCATTGGCGACCGTATGTATTTGTCATTTCACGCCTCTGCGAACCGAATCACCGTGTAATTCGGGCTCGGCGCCATGCGGTGGTCGGCGCTGATCGTGCCCGTGCTGGTAGCTTTCCCTGCGCTGACCGCAGGGCTCCAGCAGGTTCAGGATGCCACCCCGAGGCGGAAGTCGCTGGAGAAGAAGGCGCACCACGAGAAGAGGAGGGCAGCCAGCGCCGCCTATCAGACGGGCGCGCAGCAGGCGCGCGCGGCCATCGCTGTTGACAGGACTGTTTCTGAGTTCGAGGAGGCGGTCCACGTGGCCGAGAAGATGTTCGAGTCGATTGAGATCAAGCAGAGGGCCAAGCTGATGGAGGTGAAGAAGGCCATCAAGACTGCGCCCAAGGAAGCCGAGCACGGGGCCGTCAAGGTGGCGCCCCACATGGCCACCCTTGAGGAGGCCGTGGAGGCCGATAAAGATGCCCTCGGGAAGGTCAACGTCACGGCCACGGCGGCCCAGAGAGAGGAGCAGCATAAATCGAAGGGTTCTGCCAAGAAGATCAGTTCCACGGCTAAGGCGTCCGCTGTGGAGCATAAACATGAGCAGAAGTCCAAGTGGACTGCCAAGAAGGCTAGCGTTGCGGCCAACGCAGGCGAGGCAGCCAACATGGATGTGGCTGACACTGCTAGCTTAGGTGAGACAACCAGGGAGACCAAGGTGGTTTCCGACGAGGCAGATACTGCTGTTGCCGACGAGGCGGTCATGGAGGAGGCATCTGACAAGGCCGAGAAGAAAGTCGAGGCTTCGGACGAGGTGGAGACTGCTGTTGTAGAGGGCTCATACGACACGGCCGAGGTTGCAAAGGTATCCGACCAGGCTGATGCAGGTGAGGCCTACTACGATGTGGAGACTGCTGATGCAACCGATGAAGCGGAGACAAAGGAATCATCCGACATGACTGAGATTACCGAAACATCCCACGACGCCGAAGGGGCGCACGCCGAGTTGGCGAAGCAGAGGGTCATCACTGACGCGGACAGCAGCGAGACGGTCAATGACGGCGCCCGTGATGCAAGCAGCGGCGGCGGTAAGAAGATGAAACACGGTGAGGGCGGCCACAAGGCCGAGCGGAAGGCAGGGCATGTGGCTGACCACAAGGCGAACCACAAGGGCGGCCACAGGGCCGACCACAATGCGGGGCACAAGGCCGACCACGAGGGTAAGCACAGCGCTGGACATGGAGCTGGTCACAAGGCAGACCACAAGGGCAGCCACAAGGCCGACCACAAGGCGGGGCACAAGGCCCACCGCAATGACAAGCACAGCTCTGGACATAGAGCTGGCCACAAGGCGGACCACAAGGGCGGCCGCAAGGGCGGCAATCAGGTGGGACTGAAGGCCGACCACGGCAAGCTCAGCGCTGGACATGGATCTGGCCACAAGGCGGACCGGAAGGGTGAGAGTGCGCACGGTGCCGGCACCGCCCTCCACAAGAAGGCGGGCCACGGAGAGCATGCCCACAAGGCCGACCACATGGGCAGGCACGGATCGGACCACGAGGCGGGGGGCAAGGGCTCGCGCAAGGCTGGAAAGGTAACCCACGAGGCGGATTGATTGAACGAAGCCTGTCTTTCTCATGAGTTTGTTGTTCGAGCTAGTAGTGCATGAGCGCGCTACAAGACGTTCGGGCCAGTGAGTGAAGTTGCATGCGGGGCGCGGTTGGCGGCCAGACTATGTGAAAATTCTAGACGCTTCGCGTAGCCCCATCAGCCCATCCAGAAACGATGCTCAGGCGAGTTGCCCTGATCAGGGACGTGGAGGAGCCTGCGGTGGAATACATGGGGGCAGGGGAAGCCGTCATACCCCAAGAGGGGGAGGATGGAGAAGGAATCGTAGGATGAGGAGGGGGAGGGGGAGGGGGAGAAGGGAGGTGGAGGAATAGGCGGATGAAGAAGAGGAGGAGGAGGAGGCGGAGGAGGAGGATACATAATCACAATAAACATATTAATGAGACAGAAGTAGTAATCATAATACAACAAAGCATACTAATATTACGAATACTACTACAAATCATAATGCTAGTATCAATTTGAATAGTATGATTCATGGTAAGAAGAATATTTAGACTAGTACTGCGGATGATAATGCTAATTACTGCTAATAATGATACGCTACTACTACTACTACTATTATTACTACTACTACTACTACTACTTCTAGTACTCATCGTAGTACAAAGAATAAGAATACTATGGTTAATCATAACGATGGTAATGAATTTGCTACTGGTATTAACACCAACAATCACATTATTATTACTACTGATATTATCCATAAGCGTAATTTTACGAATACGAATAATTCACCATCAGTACTCTTAGTAATCGTAGAAATATTAATGATATTACACATGCATATCTATATTAGTAATGCGGATGATAATGCTAATGCTCCTAATACTGATACGCTACTACTACTACTACTACTACTACTACTACTACTAGTATTCATTGTAGTACAAATAATAAGTTGTTTTTTTTGTGTTTTCATATATATGTATATAAAAAATTATTTTTATATATATATATACATATATACATATATATATATTAAAAAACTGATGGTTAATGATGGTAATGAATTTGCTACTGCTATGACAGTTGTATTTCTACTACTGATATTATCCATAAGCGTAATTTTACTAATAGAACTGATTTATCACCAATACTATGAAACATCGTAGAAATACTAATGATACTACACATGGACATCTATATTAGTAATGCGGTTTATAATGCTAATACGCTAATAATGATACGCTGCTATCACTACTTCTAGTACTCATTGTAGTACTAATAATATGAATATTACGGTTAATCATAATGATGGTAATGGCTCTGCTATTGTTATTAACACCAACAATAATATTAATACTACTGATCTTATCCATAAGCGTAGATGTACTACTACGAATAATTCACCAACAATACTATTAATGATCGTAGAACTAGTAATGCTATCACGCATGGTGTTAATAATAACACTATTACAATATTGATGCTTGAAATGATCTTGAGACAACGTTTAATACTAATGCTAATACTAGTCGTAGTAATATTTGTGATTATTTTTACTACTGCTATTACTACTACTACTACTACTACTACTACGACTACTAGTACTACTACTTCTACAACTTCTACTACTACTACTACTAGTATTATTACTACGACTACTACTACTACTACTACTACTACTACTACCACTACTACCACTATTACTACGACGACGACGACGACTACTACTACTAATCATATGGTTAGTAATAAGAATATAGACAGGCATTTCCAATCCATGCCGACATTTGCCTCAGCCTCGCCAAGGCCTCCGAGTGCTGCTCGACGACTCGCTGAGGCACATCATGCAACCGACGCTCACGTTTGGCGGCCATATCCGCCAGGTCGTTGCACCTCCTCTCCCAGGGGTCCTCCTTCTGATGGCCTTTCACGTAGGAGAACTGGACTGGGGCCACACCTGCAGCCTCGGACGGACAATGCTGACCGTGCTCGTCGATATCGTGCCAGGTGCGCTTCTAGATGTCCACGTTGTCACGCCTGTGGGCGCCGTGCACCGGCGCCTGCCGCGCGCGATGCCATCCAGCAGGCAGGCAGTCCGCGCGGATGTGCAGCGGGGCTACACCGACGAGGAGCACTTGCAAGACTGCATGCAATTTAGCGCGTCCAGACGTCTGACGCGGCCCTGGCAATGGGCCGAAGTCAGCTCCACGATACAGCTGTTCGCCCGCGACTACAAAACCCCGGCCCGCGCGAGCTGCCGCGTCCCAGTGCTGCAGCTTCTTGCACGGGCCATCCGTGAATACCGTGCCCGTGACCATGATGGGCTCAGCTCGCGCTCCTCGATCGTAGCGCCATCTTTCTGAGTCATTCGTGGGCGGCAGCGCGGGCAGGAACGAGTCATGAAACGGCCCTTTGGAGAAGAGGAGGTCACCAGGCACAGTCGCACGAGCAGTATGCAACGTATCTTCATTGACCGCAAGCTCACGGTATCCTTCCAGCAACGGACAGCACCAGTACCGATGATGCAGTGTGCCTTGGGTGTCCCCGCAATGCAAGCAGTTGGGGTCACTGGCGTAGGCGTGCTGGTGCATGCGCTTCTGAGAGTAGTGGCCGCCCAACACCGCTGTCCGCAGAGCCGCGCGCGCCATGGGGTCCATGACCCGGCGCTTGTCCTTACCTCCCGCTTGCAGCATAGCACGAACAGGGTCAAGCCACGCACCAGCGGGGTCCTTGTGGGACGGACCTTGCACCTCAGGCATGACTTCGTCGCGCTGAGCCCAAGCTGCCCACCCAGCCGCCTCGTAGTCCTGGTGGGCAGCCCACCTGACGACGGAGGGGGCAGCGTCGCACATGTCGAGCACGTCACCAGCACAGGTACGCACCACAAAAGCAGATGAGCACGTCCAGCCCAACTGCTGCATGGAGCGAGCCAAGGCGCCCGCAGGCCCCGCGACTTGACGCCAGCTGGAGGCTAGGGGCTCCGAGGCAACCTTGAAGTACTGGGATCGCCAGGCCTGCTGCATGATCTCGTGCTTGACCTCGCCAGCATGCAACATGGCCGCCCAGTTGTGGATGGGGCCCACCACTGCAACGAACGCAGGATGCTGATCAGGAGCTCTTTCTAGGCGTGACGCGACCCAGTGAGAGCTTCCGCTGGGGATCGCATCCCAACCTTGCTTCACGAGGTCTGTTATCCTTGCCGCGATGTGAGGCGCGGCCCCCACGACGCCGCGGCCGTGCGCGATGGCGGGCCCGACTGCCGCGCGCGCCACCTTCCGGAACTTGGTGCCGAGAACCGAGAGACGCTTGAAGTGCCGCGACCGCCGAGCCACCCTGCGGACCCGTCGCCGTAGCACAGCAGAATGAGCAGCTTTGCCTGAGCAGCACCTCCAGCCACGACTGCGCCCTGAAGCCATAGCGCCTGAACCGCTTGGCCACGTGCCCTGCCGTCGCATCACTCGACCCCGTCAAGAGCGTCTTGGACTTGGCCGCAGGCAGGCCCAGGTCCAGGAGGGCATCGCACAGGGGGCTCAGACGGGACACAATCTGCAGGGTCAGGTCATCGGAGAAGATATCTAATGTGAAGAGACGCCACACTCAATGTCCTGCTGCATGGGCTTCATCCGGTCCACATAGTCATCCATGGCCGACAACATCAGCAACTGCACCAGGGCCATGGCAAACTTGCAGCCTGGTAGTACCCCTTCGTTGACCACAATTGAGTAGGACGTAGGGAGAAGCCAAACAAGTCTCCTCCGGGACCGATACATGGCCGAGGCGCACGCCAATATTTGCCTCGGAAAAGCATGCTTTCGGGCTGCCTCAACCAGGCGACGCCAACATACACGGTCGAAACATTTCTTGATATCCACGATGGCAGTGGTGACACCCGCTTCCTCCGCTAGCGCCGCCTCCGCATGCAGCATCGCGCGCGAGGCCACGTGGAGGGTGGTCTTGCCCGCGGCCATCGCGAAGTAGGGTCTGTCGTGGCCAGGAGCCACGCCCGAAGCTGCTGGCCACGCAGCTGCGACCATACACGGTAGACCGCCTGCAGGCGGGCGATAGGCCGCCAGTGTCCCTTAGGCTTGGCCAGCAGCACGATGTGGACGGCCATCATTTGCGTGGGCCAGCGCTCGAAGTGCTCCGCCAACCGCATGATATAGATGAGCAGGGACAGGATGTCATCGCTCAGGAGGCTCAAGGCCCGCGGCGCAAGCTTGTGCGCCCATTGACCAGTGTGCCACTTGAAAGACTTGGCTGCCTGTCGAACCTCCTCGATCCTCGGAATAGGTAGGGCCGCCTTCGGCAAGCTGCGCAAGGCGGCAGGCGCATCGTCGGTGTCATCGAAGTCGGCCAGGTGTCAGACTTCGAAACCATCAGGGCCACTGCCAATGCCATTATCCACCTGCTCCGCCGTGGCCAAGGATGATACTGGCGAAGCCTGCCAGATCGAAGCCCAGCTGTCCATCATCAGCCACATGCTGGGCAAAGGTCGTGTGGAAGCCAACGCGCCGAACTTGGGCGTGGGGGGCGGCCGTTGGCCTAGTGAAGGAGAAGACCGGCTTGATGCGGCCTTCCTCGCAGCCCTTGGCCCAGGACGCAAAAGCCTGCCGCCTAGCCCGTAGGCCGTAGGGCCCTCAACTCCAGGGACGAACCACTTCGCGCGCGGCAGCTCGCAGCTCAGAAATGCGAGGATGTCTCAGGCGAAACGCGCTGTGCCACCTCTCGCGCGGCATCTCGGAGCTCAGAGTTGAGAGGATGTCTCAGGCGAAACGCGCCGGACCACCTCGCGCGCGGCAGCTCGCAGCTTAGAATCGGGAGGATGTCTCAGGCGAAACGTACTGGACCACCTCGCGCGCGGCAGCTCGGAGCGCAGAATTGTGATGATGTCTCAGGCGAAACGCGCCAGACCACCTCGCGCGCAGCAGTTCGCAGCCCAGAATCGGGAGGATGTCTCAGGCGAAACGCACCGGACCACCTCGCGCGCGGCAGCTCGGAGCGCAGAGTTGTGATGACGTCTCAGGCGAAACGGCCACCTCGCGCGCGGCGTCTCGGAGCTCAGATTTTCGAGGATGCCTCATGCGAAATGGTCCAGAACACTTCTCGCACGGCACCTCGGGGCTTAGAGTTTCGAGGATGTCTCAAGTGAAACGGCCCAGAACACCGCGCGCGCTGCGTTCCAG